GAGGCGATCGGGCGCCTCAAAGCCCACGAGGAGAGGGCACGTGTTTTTCGAAACAACGTCGACGATCACCTATTGTTGACGCATGCGGAGTGGCAAGCAAGGAGCAAGAAGAACGGCGGAGGCTTCCTCTCAACACCTACAACCAATGATGGCAGCGGTCGAGGACGAGGTCGCGGGGCCGGTCGTGGGCGTGGGCGTGGCCAAAGAGGCCGAGGCGGACAGCAGTACCACGGCAGCGGGCAGCAGCACCACGCTGCCCAAGCAGGCCGCGGAGGGGAGCACGGCGGCCAGGCAGGCCGAGGCGGCTTCGGCGGCAGAGGAGGACGTCCAGGAGGTGGTTTCGGCCATGGAGGTGCAGCTCGCCAGGAGGGGGAGAGTAGCACAAGCGGTGGTCGAGACAAATCCAACATCAAATGCTTCAATTGCGGAGTATACGGGCACTTTCAGTCGGAGTGTCACAAGCAACGCCGCAACCATGAACAGGAGGCTCATCTCACCCGTGCATATGACGAGGAGCCAACCTTGATGATGACTGTTTTAGAGGAATCATCAACTGCCATTCTACTCAATGAAGAGAAGGTGGTGCCAAACTTACTCACAGCGGGGGAGGCACAAGTTGCCAACGACGTTTGGTACCTTGACAACGGAGCTAGCAATCACATGACCGGCCACCGAGACAAGTTCAAGGAGCTCGACGAGAACATCAAGGGAACCGTCAAGTTTGGTGATGGATCCGCGGTAGAGATCAAGGGGAAAGGCTCTATCCTCTTTCAGTGCAACAACGGCGATCAAAGGCTACTACCTGAGGTATATTATATTCCAAGTTTGAAATCTAACATTATTAGCCTTGGTCAGATGACTGAAGATGGGAGTAAGGTTGTTATTGCTGACGAGTTCCTGAGGGTGTTTGATAGGAACGGTGCTCTCTTGATGAGGGTGACACGTTCAACTAACCGATTGTACAGGATAGAGTTAAAGACTTGCAAGCCGGCGTGTTTGATGGCGAACATTAACGATCCAGCTTGGTTATGGCATGCTCGCCTTGGGCATGTCAATTTCTTCGCCCTCAAGATGATGACTGAAAAGAGGATGGCTTCCGGGTTGCCGAAGATCTTGCACCCAAATCAACTATGCGAAGGATGCCTCGTCGCCAAGCAAGCAAGACTGTCGTTCCCTTCGCAAGCAAATTTCAGAGCTCAGAAGCCGCTGGAGTTACTACATGCTGATCTATGTGGTCCTATCACCCCATCTACACTTGCTGGGAACAACTACTTCCTTCTTATCGTTGATGATTTCAGCCGATGGATGTGGGTATACATGTTGAAGGCCAAGAGTCAAGCTTTTGAAACCTTCAAGAGGTTCAAAACAGAGGTTGAGAACGCATGTGACCACAAGGTGAAGACATTGAGGACAGATCGTGGTGGCGAATTCTTGTCAAAGGAGTTCACAAAACTGTGTGAAGACTACGGCATCAAACGTCATCTCACTGCACCGTACACCCCGCAGCAAAACGGTGTAGTGGAGAGGCGTAA